TTTAGCTTCGTCTTTTACCAAGATTCTCAACTCCTTAGTAGATATAAGACTAGCCATTTCTTCTTCTTCAGGAGTCAGGAATAACAACCTCTTCCTATAACAATCAATATAAACATAGTTGCTTTTGAGCCAATTCATCCCTAAAATAACATCCAACTCGCTGAGTGGTAGACAAATCAAGTCCACTCCAAATTCTTTACCAAAGATCGACACAGGGCAATCCAAACACACTAAAGATGTAGTGATTGATCCAATAGATGGAGTATCAATCACCATCCCTCTACTTAAAGTAGACGACACAAGCCCCAGTCTCTTCACACAATCCACAGAAATAAAGGAGTGAGTTGCACCCGTATCAATAATAGTAATCAAAGGAGTGTTATGAATGTAACACGTACCTCTGACCAAACGATCCTCACTGGTAGGATGAGCTCCCACCAATGCAAACACCTTCCCAATTGTCTGAGAATTCTTCGGTTTCTGACGGTGGATGCTGATATGACCCTGCTCACCACAGTTATAATAGGTTGGTATGCTGGTTCTACAATCTGCGAGCACATGACCTGACTTTCCACACTTAAAACACTTCTTCACCTCATTCTGACATTCATTCGCACGGTGACCTGCACCACCACATCTGAAACACTTGAGAGGATTGGAAGGATTTCCTCCCCCACTTGGTTTCTTCCCAGCAACATCTTTCTGCTTTCCTTTATCATCCGGAGCACGGTAAGGTGTATTCCCATGCCTCTGTTTGCCTCTTCTGTCACTTAGATTCTTATAGTGAGTGATTCTAGCTCTGTTGTCTTCACCATAAATTCTACACCTGTTCACCAACTCAGGAAAGTACCTGATCTTCTGATAACCGACACCTAGTTTGATCTCGGGACACAACCCGTTCTCAAACTTGATGCACTTCGAACTCATAGCTGCATCAGTATTGTAATGAGGACAATACTTTACCAGTTCGTCGAACTTAACAGCATATTCTACCACTGTCATGTTCCCCTATTTCAACTCAATGAATTTAATCTCTTTCTTTCCGCGAACATCTTCCGGAAAATACAGTTCTAGGAACTCTACCCTGAACATTGTCTAATTAATGGGAACCTCACCAGCTTCCGACCTCTGACGGGTATTGTCCCACCAGTCCTCAGCCTCACTTTCCAGCATATGAGTACCAAACTGTATCTTCTGATCCTCTGAGATCCCATGACTTTGAAGATCTTCTCAATATCCTTCAACCATTTTTGTGCTACATCTGGATCATGCCACCTTCGAACTTAGGTGACTTGTTATTCTAGAACTTCTCCAAATTACGGAACTCTCTGTTTCCAGCACTCCGATTGATATTCTGACCAATGTTCGCCACTGCCTGCGCAACAACTTGTAACGCAACAGCCATCGCAACATCATTTCTACAAGCCATACTGCTCAACATCCATGAAAACACAGGTTAGAAGAAACACACGACTATAGACATCCTATAGTCAGACTCTACTACAACACTGGCCAGACGGATCGACCTGCTCTGATACCAATTGTAACACCCCACTCTATCCCGTACGCGTATTATAGAAATATTAAAGAAAATACATCAGAGTTTTCAAAACACGTAGGATGTCACACTAAGTCACTTCGTTCATTTTAAATAAACCAATGCTATCTAGCTTTCAATTAAACAGCGGAATAAAATCAATGTTTAAACATAATCCCCACAACCGGTGGTTATACATCATTAATCCAACAGATAAAAGATACATAACAATTAATCAAGAAAATAAGCAAAACATAACGTAATCCCGTCATCCCACGTTACGTATCATAGCGACTCCTAGGACTCGACCAATTAGCACACCCTCCAAGCACTACTCAGGTACCTGGTCATCGGCACTCCCCAAGGAGCACAAACACAACAAACAAGAGAGGGGGTGAGAACTACATTCAATAAATAAGCGGTGAAATACACATGCTAAGAAGTAGTTTCACACCACATATATAATCATACACATACAACGCACATACACGTGCCATCTCAATCACTCGACATTAATAACCCATAATCAAATACAAATATGTAATGTGACTCAATGACTCGACACAATGCATGTGGTACCAACACAATTACATACGGTTCATCCTAGAACCCGATTCCCATCGAAATCCAGATAAGTCATATACGTTCCTCTAAACTACAACTTATCTCCACCACGACTTCCACATGAAGTCTGGATGAACTAGGCACCCATCATGGATTCCCACCTAGTCATCTCCACAAGACACATGACATGAAATGCATGATAACACAATTATGCAAATATAATAATTCCAAGCATAATTCACGATCATCAATGATCCACACGAGCCATCGGCTCACCGTAATTCTCTCAGGAATTAGCACCATCACACCAGATCGTCCACACTGGGCGGTCCTGGCCCACACATATCAATCACACCCCTACGGGCAAAAACATAATTTTCCACATTCTCTCTAATTAAATTCATTACTAATATTCTTTAGATTCATTTTAGTCATCTTAATCCTACCGATTAAACAAAATTGCGTTCCAAGCGAAATCTGGACATAAATCACCAAAATTAGGGAAAAGTCCCCCCAGGCTGCCCATACACGTAACACCTTTCCCCATACACGTAACTCCCTTACGCGTATTGGCAGAGGCTCACACCTCTCCAAGTTCCCTCATGCAACCCCTTACGCGTATGACTACCCTTCATACGCGTATTGACCAGGCCCATACGCGTATGGTACGCGTATCACCAGAGGGCCGTGCTGGTCTTGGGAACAGGGCACGTCCGCTACGCGTACAGCCCTTGGGAAGCCCCCCATACGCGTATTGACACCCCCAATACGCATATGACCAGCAGATCTATCAAAAAACTCAGATCTCGTCATTCCCACGAGTTCCCTCTCAAGCTCCATCATTCTACCTTCCCATTCGTCCTAAAACTCAAATTGTGATCGATTCGATTAAGCCTATCTTCTATTATCTCAAGATTCCACTTATTAGATCTAATTTCGATTATTGTTAAACCCTTAATTCTCAAATCTAACATCTGTCATAAATTCATCATAGTGCTCATAACTTTTCACACGAATTTTAGATCAGTTCTAGAATTCGTTCATCTACCATCAGACAATAATATTCAACAATGACAACAATAACGAGGAACATCACGAAGTTACGAAATCAGATCAATGAACAAGAACAAACAAAATTTCCTACGAGAGAAAGGACCTCTCACTACCTTCTCATATCAAATCACCCATATTGAAATCCATTCTCCCCCCTTACCTTGGATTGAAGCTTTTTCCTTGACAACAATGGAGAATTTGTTCCTTTTTGCCCTAGCTCTCATTCCTCTGCCTTTTTCCTCTTTCACGTGTTAACTGACAAACTCCTCCACTAACCCTATCTTAACCCCCCTTAATCATACTTTAATTCATTTAATTTAATTACTAATAATAATAATAATACTAATAATAACCATAATAATAACCATAATTCTATTAATATTATTATTAATAATAATTGAAATAATAATATTAATAATCATAATGCTCTTAATCTTGTTACTAAATTATCCCTTATTCTAGGTCCACGTTACCCCAACTAAGGTCACCTCTCACTCTTGCCCTCTAACTTCATTTTCCTAATTAAGGACATCACACATAATACGCACACAACCAAGTATAAAATGACTAAATAATTCAAATGAGGTGTTACACAACGCATATGACGGGAAGAAAAGATTGGTTTCTTACAATCAATCGTCCCATGAAAAACAAAGTGAAATTCACAAATGATACCACTCCAGTGGCTGAAGGGATCAGTGATGTATCAATGAGAGAAGGGATGATACACATTTTTTAATAAAAGGTGTTTTGTACATTCCCGAAATCAAATATGTTTAATGTCTTGCAAAAGAATATAATAGTAACGGGGCTGCTATTGATCATGAAATATTTTAACCAAATAAAGAACACAAAAATAAAAAAAATTCAACAATGAAATTGTCAAACAAATTATACATTATATCCCTAACAAAATTATATCTTATTTACAATAGTATACTATAATTTAGTTCTCAAATCACTACGGGATATAATAAATCACTACGGGGATATAATATTAGAAAAATCAAAGAAAATATTGCCTAAACCTACATGGACTCATGACCAAGGCAAGTGGAAATTTATCTATCTTCTCATATGTTGTTTTTGGAGCATTAAATCTTTTGCTGACAAAATATATTAGACTGTGTACATATAAAAAAGGTTAAATATATTCGTGGTATTTATAAATATTTTAAAATTTATTTTTAATTTTTCAAAATTTTTTTTTTAAGAATGGTGTTTCCAACTTCTTTTATCTATATTTTTGGTCCCTTCTATAATTTATTAATGGTTTTTACAATTTTATTTTTAACGACGATAATTTTAATTATAGTTTTAACATATTTTTAATATTAAAGATCAAAAACGTGAATGCAAACCTCAATGAACACTAACCTAAAATTTCTAACATACCATTACATTATATAAATGACAGCTAACATACCATTAAATTATTAAATGACAGATACATTGTAAAATAAATATACCATATACATTGTTAGACGATTAGAAACAAACAGTAGTCCTTGCATTTGACTTGGATAAAAAAAAATGAAAAATTGATATTTTATGTGTTTGAGATGTTTTAAAAATGAAAAATTAATAAAATCCCTTCACTTATACACACACTAACTCTTATTTATGCTTATTTATTAGCCCACGATTCTTTTCAATTCTCCTTTAGACCTTTCATTTCCAACAATGTTTTATGAACTCAACCATGTATTAGTATATATATGAAAATTAAAAAAACTTACGTTTCATTTTCAAAGTACAACTTCAACTTACATACAGATGCAATCCTATACATTTAGCAACACAAAATTAACATAAGAAGAAACAAATCACAATTAACAGAAAACCGCTATCTTGGCCCTGATATTTGTTGTGAAGATATGTAAGAAAACCCACTAACCAACCCTGTTGAGTCACGCGGCTGTTGAACCCTCACAGAACCATGTTCATTTTCTTCAGCTACAACAGAAGCCTCAGAAAACCTCCGACCATAGAATCTCAAGAAATTCAAACACTCCATCCTAGGTTGTGGCAACGGTGTCCCACCTTCCAGCATTCCAACAACAGTAACCATGTTTGGTCTAAGTGCCGGATCTTCATGAACACAACACAATGCAATACGAACAAGTTTCTCAACTTCATCAAATGTAACACGTCCTTCTAGTCTTGGATCGGCTAAATCCATGTAACTCTTTTGTTCGTGCATCTCTAGTGCAAATAGTGGAAAATAAACAAGTTCCGTCGTTGACGAGTTCGATGAATTTCCGTTGTTTCCACTGCTGTTGTTGTGTTCATCATCCATGCTGTGAGTTCTGGATCTGAATGAACAGTTTTTTCTACCACTGATCAGTTCAAGAAGCACCATTCCGTAACTGTATACATCAGTTTTTTCAGATATTGCAGAGTTTGTTAGCCATTCCGGAGCAAGATAACCGCGAGTTCCTCGCATTGTTGTGAATAAACCAGATTGTTCAGGACTAAGAAGCTTCGAAAGTCCGAAATCAGATATCTTAGCTTGAAATTGATCATGCAGAAGAATATTCTCTGGTTTGATATCACAGTGAATTATCTTTTTCTCACATCCGCTATGAAGATAAGCCAGTCCGCGTGCTGTTCCAAGTGCAACGTCTAATCTCTCTTGCCATTCCAAAACCGGCTGTCCAGCACTTCCGAAGAGGTTCCGGTCGAGTGAACCGCGATTCATGAACTCGTAGACCAACATTCGGTGTCCTCGTTGAGCACAAAAGCCTTTGAGTCTAACTAAGTTAACATGATGAATGTTTCCAATAACAGCAATCTCAGCGAAGAAATCTTTCTTCCCTTGAATTCCAATGTTGATTATTTTCTTCACTGCTACAATAGTCTTATCAGGTAGCACACCTTTGTACACTACGCCGAATGCACCAGATCCTATCAGAGTCTTGAAATTATCCGTAGCAACCTCAAGCTCTTCGTAATCAAACCTCGTCGGTAAACCAGGAATGCAGAAGGGATCCGAATCCAAGTCCCCTGAAGAATGCGAGATCGACATTTGTTTCCCTAATATCACCTCTTGTTTCTTTGATTTTATGAATTTTCTCCATAGCAGAAAAAAACCAAAAACCAGAAAAAGAATCATTCCACCACATGGTAATAGCACTGCAGCAATAACCGGAAATCCATCTTTTCGAGAGTTTTGTTCATCATCATCATCATCATCAATATCAACCCAAACTTTATTAGATTTAATCAAGCCTAACATGTCTCTTTCACCTCCATTACTAATTGATCCCAATTCATTTTCAATCATGTAACAAGAACCAGATGAATTTCTATACAAAATTCCCAAGCAAGAACAGTTACTTGAACAAAAAGCTTCACAAACAGATAAATTCACTCCATACATAAACGGATCAGAATAAAGATTTGCAAAGTACCTCACACCATACCCTATGCTCAAAAATGAAGAATTTGATTGACTATGATTATTGGTAGAAGAATTACTACAAGCTAATGGCAAAGAACGCGATCTATCGTTCGGAACACAACCGCCGAGATTACCTGAGACACCATGGAAATTTGAAGGACAAGAACAAACAGGTGAAGATGAAGATGACGACGACGACGATGATAAAGTGTTATCATTACATAAACCTATTCTTCCACAAGCTAATGGAATTTGACAACCATCATCTGGTCCAACAAACTCCTGCTTCAAATTTGTTCCTGAGAAGCTACTAACTGTAAACTGGCCATTGAAAGCCAATTTCGCGAAACGGATATTAGTTACTGATAAACCAACTTCATAGACATGAACTGTTTCATTATGTCCAAAGAGATAAAAACCTGTTGTGCTTACTGCCATGTATTCAACATCATCATTTGAACTCTTGTAAGCCTTTGAATCCCGTGAAAGTTTCCAATATGTTTGTCCATACCATCGAAGAATCGCATCAGAAGAAGTTACTGTCAAGACATAATTTCCTGTTGACAAATTTGAACTGGAAGAAGCACTTGACAACGATGATCCGGCCGATAAACGTTGTCCGATAACGATAGTATCAGTTGGATGGTCGAAACTCTCCCAAAGAGACTCATTGGATTGATCAAGTAACACAAGGTTTCCCATCTCAGTGAGTTGAAGCTTATCTACTTGTGATTTAAGCGATGGCGTCGACCATTTGGACTTTCCGTTTTCGCCATAAATTGTTATCCCTTTGACAGTTAGCCTCATTTTATCAGAATCTGATATGGGCGCGTCGCGGTTAGCAGACCAAATGATCGTGTTCGACGCAGAATGAATGATGCATAGATAGAAACTTGTCTGTTGATTACCAGGATTGAATATAGCAGCCTTGAATGTTTTGTTTCTAGATGACAAAAATGAGCCGGTGTTACTGATAAATTGAAGATACGAAGCAGTAAAATTCGTCGAAATATGATCTGAAAATGTGTAAGCGGATACAGAAGTAACAAACAAAACAAAAAAGAAAGAAAAACTTAAGAAAATTTTCATGGTGTGATAGTTTGTTGAAAAACAAAAGTGTAACATGTAAGAATGGAAGATAGAAAAGAGTGGAATTGGTCTATTTGAATGCTCTCCATTTTCTTTTCTTCTATATTTGAGTTGACTATTGAAAATCATGCATTCTTTCTTCTATCTAACAAATTGATTCCATAATGTGGCCATTATTGATTATATAATATGGACACGCAAGAATAGAAAATTCTATGTGGATTTTTTAAATATATATAGTTATATGTTCTGAGAACTTAGTTGTCAAAGTGAAATTATATGAATTAATGATAAAATAAAGCCGACTTATTTTAAAATGTGATGTTTTCTTGGTCTCCCATTGTATGGTATTTTATTGTGAAATGAGTGCTGTTACATGCTTGTTGCATCATTTGATTATTAAACTATAGTGTGGAAGAATAAGGTAAACTTAGAAGGATGTGCATAGAGACATGAGCATTGAAACGTGGTTGCAGATACACTGTGAATACATTTTTTTAACAATTTTGATGGCTAGAAACTTGTGACATAGAGGAAATATAGAGGAGGTTGGTTTGAACATCAATGATGGGTTTTTTTTTTTCATACTCACTCATGAATAATTCTTTTTATAGTTTTCTTTAATCTCTATCTCTTAATTCTTTGGCATGAGTAACTAAAAGCTCATTGTTAAGGAGGAGTATAATTTGATGAAAATTTTAACTATGTGATTTGATCTTTGTTTATTTATATGAGTTTATATGAGTTGTTTTCTTTATCTACATTCTTAGTACTTTTAACTGATTGGTCGCTAGTAGAATGATATATCATACTTAGTTTAGAAGGGAGGTTCATTCTTTGAAAGCTTGGAAGTAAGAATTCATGTATTTGTTTCTACTCTATGCACAAATATAAAGAATTTTTTTACCCTATTACTCAATTTCTCCAACAAAAATCTTATAAAAATGATAAGATTGAGACAAGTAGTACTTGTCCAAATACATTCCAATGTGTCATAAAGGTAAATGAAATATAAAGGAGTATATCATGGAGATGTCTAATTTCGCAACGAAATTTAAGACGTTAAAGTTTGAAATTCTTAAAAATTTGATTGTGCACTTGATTTTGATCTCTCTCCTAACACATTTTAGACAATTCAAAGTTAGTTACAATACTCAGAAAGACAAGTGGTCTCACAATGAGCTTATATCTCACTGTGTGCAAGAGGAAAAAAGACTATAAAGAGAGAAGACTGAAAGTGCTCACTTGACTACTATCTCTCAAAATAAAAGGAAGAAAGTTGCAGAATTTTTTCCCAAAATAAGAAGGCAAAGGAATAACCTAAATAGTCCACTTGCTTCTTTTACAAGAAAGATGAACACATGTATAAGGAATGTTTCAAGTACGTCACATGGCGTGAAAAGAAGAGTAATTTCTCACTTTTGTCTATTATGAAATTAATTTAGTTTATGTACCTAAGGATGTTTGGAGGGTAGATTCTAGTGCTACTACTCACATTAATATGTCCATGTAGGGTTACTTGTAGAGCTGTCCGCCAAGTGATGCTGAATGATTCATCGATTTGGTTGATGGCAATAACGTTGTAGTAGAAGCTATAAGGATTTTTTGATTACTCTTTAAGATTGATTTTCATTTGAATTTGGTTGAGACTTTTGTTGCATCGTCTATTAGACGAAATTTAATTTCTATTTCTATTTATATTTCTATCAGGTTATGCCTGTTCATTTAAAAATAATAAATTTAGTATCTCATATGTGTTGCACCTCAAAATTTTCCCTCTAGTCCTCTTATCCTAGCTGACTTCTGCTTCTCATTCATATGCATTATCCATTAGGTCATGACAGGACATCATGCACTTCATTAGCTTCCCAAGGCAGGGGATCAAGGCATTTTCTTGTGATTCGAAGTTTTCTCTATTCAAAGAGTGCAAGCAAAGGCAAAGGGATCAAAATTCTCTATTCATTATGTTCAGGCCAAGAACATTAATTATGGTGTTCAAAGCTAAATCAACAACATCCAAAATCTCTAGCATTTATTTTGCTCAGAGACTGATTGAGATTACTTGGAATTCAAGCAAGTCTGAGGATATTCTGGGTTTAAGACAGGGTACCTATCATATTTCAAGTATTATTCAAGGTCAATATCAAAGGCTGAGGTTCAGAGGCGAAGCCATGCTCAGAACAGGTTGCAATAAGGCATTTTTTCTTCACATTTTTGCACTGCGGTAACCGGTTACTCAGATTCAGATAATTGGTTGCACCCCCTCCAGAAGGCGCAAGAATTCAAATTTTCAAACATGTAACCGATTATCCTATTTTAGGTAACCGATTAAACCTGCGCAATTTTGTCGAAATCAGTGTAAAGTACTGCAGTAGCTGTTACTCCAATTCACTTTCTTGCTTCACTCATGCATCAAAGGAATATTCTAGAACATGCAATACCACAGAAAATATCATTTCCATATTTTCTCCCCACTTTATTCCAAATAAATTCCACCATACACCCTCATTTTAAACCAATTGATTTGGTGATTTGTATTTGAACCCTAACCGAGTTATGATTTAACTCACCTAGTTGAGTCTAACTAACTCTATACCTAAATCAAAACCTCACTTCGAACCAAATTTCAAGCCACATTTTGCTCCATACCTAGTTTCTATTTAAACAAACCTCTCTCATTGTTGCAAAGGAGAACCATTTTCACCCAATTTGTGAATTTTCTGCACATCACACTCTTAATTCTCTCTCACTTTTGCTGAGTTTTTCACTCATACTCTCCATTTTCATCATCTTCCCTAACCTTACCAAAACTTCACCATTAAATTTAGTAAGATTTTCATTGAAGCTTGTTAATCTTGAAGCTCAACCTTCATAAAATCACTTCCTCAACATCAGATTCTGCAGTAACAGAAGATTCTCTAATAGATATGAGCTTTGGAGATTATTTCTTGAAGTGATTTTGTAGCAAATCTGGATTCGGTCAGTTTATTACATTGTTCTTCCATTCTCTTGTGAGGAACTCTTTGGATCTCTGGTTTTCTTAGCTACATCCATGATTTTCTGTTTGCAACAAGTACCAAGGCAAATCTCAGCCTTGTAGGTTGGCAATTCTTGGATCTAACGCCGTTTTAGCTTAATTTGAATTTTTCACAATGTAGTCTCTTGTGATTTGTGTGTTAACTGATCATTTTGTTTGCATGCTTGGTTGTACTCAAAGCATTAGTCTAATTCCCTTAGGTGGCCTTTACTTCAAATTGATTAGGTTGTTTAACCAAATAGATTTGAATTAGAGGTAGACATTAGGTTCTACTCAAAGCATGACAACATTAGGGTTAGACTTCCTTCATCCTCAACCATAGGTCTATCTTGCATGATCACATTAGGGTATATTTCCCCTTTTATCCCAACCTTAGGATCATTTTGCATGATAACATTTAGGATCGAATTTCCCCTATATTTTCTTTCTTTTTGCATCTTCTTAAAACAAAAATACTTTCTTGCATCAAAAACAAAAAATAATTAACAAATACGATGCGTATAATACGTCACGCGCCTTAAGTACATGGGAAAAGATGAGCGAGAGTATTTCTTACCTCTTTTTAGAGTATTTTGCACATGAGACGTTTGGATCATTTGTACAAAATACTTGCTTCTATTGTCATTACTTTAGTACAATACACATCTCAAACTCTTTTCAAAACCTTAACAAAAACACTTCAACAAATTCAAATCATTTTTCTTCGGGATTTTCTCTTCAAAACCTTTTCAGAAAGAGCATGTTATTTCCGTTCTACCGCAACACAGGCTAATGCGTAAGTCTCCTCACGTGCGAGTGACAAAACCTAACTGCTAGAATGTGAACGTTAACATCGTCCATTAAAAATGCTAAACAGAGCAAACTTTTTCAACAAGAACTACGGAGTTCTGATTCCCTCTGGGATATGTAGGCACTGGGTTGCAAAACTCGGATGAACTCAATAATAAAAACCTTTTGTTTTTCCCTCAATAATTCATTTATGATTCCTTTAGCAAGTAAGCTTTAGATATACACACCTTTTGATTAGAACAACAAGAGTGGATCCCGTTGAGTACAACATACGCGAGGGATACTAATAACTTCCTCTCGCTTAATCAACTCCCGAACCCCGAATTTGGCTACGAGACCATGTTCTCTCCTTTATGAGGTTTTCTTAATGTTTTCCTTTCCCTGTCGGGATAAATAAATTTTGATGGCGACTCTGTGTCTTTGTCGGTTATTTTTCGTGTAGCGAGAATTGGGGACTCTGGTTCCCTATGTGAGTCCGTCCTAGTTCTTATTTATTTTCTTTTCTTTGGGTATTTATCTTTATGCTTTACTTGCTTACTTATTTGCATTTCATTGCATTTTACTTTTGCTATTCATTTTATTCTGGATATTGCTATACTGTTGGGGTAGGTTGTTACTAAGAGATGAGCCTACTACCCAGGCTTGAGTATATACACAGGATTATAGTGGACTTGTGTTGACTTGCATAGAATTTGATATGTATAGTTTACACGAGACCCGAATTCAGACGAGATTTTCTTGAGGATATTTTATCCTGTGTGTTATGAAGAAGATAGTGTGTCTGCATATAGAACTCATAACTCTGGAGACCTTTCTTTGGAAATCAGTGGAGGCCTCCTTGAGGGATAATAATACCAAATAGGAAATTATGAATGTATTATTATTTCTCGACCTAAGAGACCGAGAAGCTAAGGACTGTTAGGAACCTCTGTTCAAGACTAGAACCCACATGTGATAGGGAATGAGATTTTGCAGGAAACCTTGACCTTCATCCTACCCGATTTTCTGGTTTTCTTAGAGGCGAACTTTTGAACCTGTTCTATTCAACTTGTTTCATTATCAGTATAATTGTTATCCAGAATATATGGAAGCTTTGATCCCATATCTATTGCATTCATAACATTGCATAACACAAACATCCATGCTTCATTTTACATATCATTATTTAACAAAA